AACAGTGATGCCATTAAAGCAGGGCAATTAAGCCACTTTAAAAGCCAATTGTGTCGCGTGTACAAGCACCCATAATGACTCCCCAGAATAGAGTAAGTTGGTGGTACAAACCAATTTTCTTGACTCCCAGGCTAGCATCTTATGCACAGGACCTAGACCTTGTCGGCAAGGCCAATAGCATCACTTATTAATAAGGTTGTCCAACATTTCCTACCACAAGACCCAGTTTTCATTTGCTTATAACTTTACCAAACTTTGTAACTCTTGGGGAGATTTTCTGTGCTAGGTTTCTGTCTCGAGCTGACCGATGTTTAATTTCAGCCAAAGTGGTTCATCTATTTCTGCAGATGAGGCTACAGGAGAAAATGTTGATCTGCCCAGGCCATAATGTTCTTGAGATCTTTCCTTTCAATAGCTCCTTACGCTGTGGAGCAAGGACTGGAAATGATGTGGAGGGCTGTCTGTTGTGCCAGAGAGGTGCATTTTTGTCACCTCATTTACTCCCTTCGCTCTAGTGGTCCAGTCCTGCTGATGATGCATGTGGCATTATGAAGACACCCATATGATGGGATGTGTTTGGGTAGTTTGCTCTTTATAAAAAAAATACAGGCCCCACAAAACAAGGAAATTAAACATCAAGAACTATGTTAAAGAGCATTATGGGAGTTGCAAAATTAAGCACTCAGAAGTTAGTACCAGAATTAAACTCCCAAGTGGGTCCAAACTTCTGATTCTGGGGTACCTTAATTCAGTTCCCTTGTGCACCTGCATTATGAGCCTGTCTAATTATTATATGACTACTTGCTATTTTTACCTTTGGGCTTGTGCTATATTCAGTGTACAGGAGCGACTCTGCTCTAGAAATAGATTGCTATTATGTAGCTAGCAAATGAAGCACTTGCCTGCAGGACCCCGACTCCATTAGGGGAAGAAGATAAATGAATTTGCTTGCAAGGCGCTCACATGCCACAATGGTGAGCACTATGGAGCAGCCCATTCAGAAATGGGAAAGTCTGTTTTCAGAGCAAGGTTTAAACAGCGTGCTGTAAATAAGACCTAGGCCCCTGCATTGAACAATGAGGAGAGAACCAATACTGAATCGCTGCTCATTAATTTAGCACCTTCCATCTTGTGCAGTGAATCAGGCAGGGCCTTGTGAAGAGAAGAACCTGTGGCCTTGTCATTAGGGGATGAGTATCACAATGCAAGATTGCTTGGTGGAAGCACAGCGCAGAAGTTTGGACCCATTTAGGAGTTTAATGATCCTGTAGCACCTTTCTCAAGAGAGCTGCAGAGGCAGGACTTGGTGTCCTGGCTGCTTTTCATACAGAATAATGACATGCTTCTGATCCCAGCTGCCCCAAAGCAGCAAATGGAGTCTTTCTTCCTATCCTAAATTGTTGCCTGGTATTAGAAGAGGTCACATAACTTTCCTAAAAGGGGTGAAATGATCCTTATGAATAGTCCCTGTATCGCTGCGCTCAGCGTCTCTTTGGATGGAAGCAGCTCTAGAAAGGCAGGATCATTGTTGCTGACACCAGTGGGAGTTTTGAGGCAACATATGGCCCTCAGCTTTGATTTCTCCTGGCTGCCTTGGCATTACTTTACTGGTCTTTCAGCTTGTGTTATATTATCAAGCTGTCATGTTCCCCACAAGCCACATACAGCTAAGAACATTGATACTTCATGAAAACACTGGAGGTTTTTAATTGTTGGTCTAATTGTGCTCTAGCAGAGGCTTGCTGATGTGATGGAGTATAGAAAAAAGAGGCTAAAAATTACCCCGTCTAGCTCCATGCATGGCTTTCCTAGCCTGGCTTCTCCTAGACTGAATCCAGTGCCTGAATTAAAATGCTGACACTCCACTGAGACATGGAGAGAAAGGCTGTGTCCCTGGCATGTTTGAACAGTCAGTGGAAGGATCGTTGTGAAAGGAGATGTCAAGTTTAGCCTGTAAGCAATTGGGACTCTCAGATCTAAGTTACTCTAAAATCACTTATACTTAACCCGTCTAAAACCTGTAAAATAATGCTCACCAGAACCTCATATGGCACACATTGAAGGGAATTAAAGGGAAGAAACAGTTGAATTCCTTGAATAACTAACCAGGAGGTTTTTTTCCTCTATCTGGTACCTGATCTTGCAGGCTACTTAGCAGCCCGAGCCAGATCCAGAGTCCAATGGAGTCAAAGGTGTTCAGTCCTTTCTTAGCATCTAGTCCAAGGACTACGGAAGTCTACAAACTTCTTTCCATTGTCTTCCAATGGGCTTCAAGAGCAAGCCCTGAGAAAAGGCTGAGGCCCCCTGAACTCTCATGGGTTTTAACAGGAGTGAAGGATGCTCTGGGTCATATAGGACTAGGTGCTGCCCTGCAAAACACATGAGCTGTCCCTTTTTGCAAAGACGGGCAAGAGCAAAAATCAACTTTGTTCAGCTTGAGATGGACCTGGTGTTCACACCACTTGTGCAGCTGCTCCTGCATGACCCTGCCTGGGAATTATGCAACCGTCATAGTCCAGGCTTGATCTGA